CCTTGGCATTCCACTTGTACTGAAACTATGAATCCCATCATGCCTTTGACTCTGGGAGTCATTCCTGTGGCTGGCAAAGTCTTGCTATGCATCACTGGACTTGTAGTTCTACAACAGGTGGATTGCCAAGGTTGCCCACCAATGCACTAGAATATGAAAACCCTTACCCCTCATTCACACGAGTAACAGCCGGGCAGTACAGATCCGTGCTGCGTGTATGGCCGTATCAGGCCGCTCCCGGGAGGGACAGGTGCTGCGTGTGATTTGTACGCAGCCGCCTGTTATTCTCTATGGGAGTACGCGGCTGTATGCTGTGCTACACTCACCCGAACTGCCCATCCGTGCGGGTGTCCCTGCTTGGATCCATCCTGTCTGTGTAAGAGTATGGACACCCGCGGATGTGCAGTTCGGGTGAGCTTACGGCCGTGTACTCCCATAGAGAAGAACAGACTGCTGTGTACAAATCACACGCAGCACCTGTCCCTCCCGGGAGCGGCCTGATACGGCCGTGCACGCAGCCCGGATCTGTACCGCCCGGCTGTTACTCGTGTGAGGGCTTCGGGGGAACTTTACTAAAAGTGGAGCAGACAGAATCTGGAGCAGCTGTGTCTAGTAACCAATCAGCTTCTGTTTGTTCAGTTACGCTTTAAAAATCAAAGCTAGATTCTGATTGGTTGGCATGCACAGCTGCTTCAGATTCTGTGAGCACCAGTATTCGTAAATTCCCCTAATAGTATATATTTAAAGTTTATTTCCGGAACCCCCCTCCATGTTAGAATATGGGCACCCGGGTCTAAACGGACGGGCGTCCATTTACATCCGGTTAACTCCCGACTCCGGCCAGGTCCGGAGAAACAAACCGATCAGAGATCCGTTTCGCCGGACCTGATTGTGCCGGATCGGGGGTAACCGGATGTAAGCAGAATCTAGAAAAGGAATGACATCTGTGGGACCAGCCGGCGTGGGCACATCTGCATTGCTGGATTAGCAGTCCCCGGCACCCAGGTCACATTGGCGAGAGACCAGGACGGCAGACACGGGAGTATATATGTCTCCACAAGGAAAGGAAAGATAAAGGTAGGATGGAGTAAAGGAAGTTATTATTTGTCCCGAGGTGGTCTGTCATTGTATAGGAAATGTGCATAAACGAAAATGTGTTCTCGTCAAAAACACCCCATCGCTTCCCCTTCAAGCTGAACTCCAGTTAGTTCGTTTTTGATTTGCCCCATTACTTCCTGTCCCTATGTATGTGTCATTTTTGAGGGAGTCTTGAGTCTGAGGGAAGAGCCAATGTCACTTCGTGTCACTGTACTGGAACAAACTACATTTCCCATCATGCAATGTAAATTGTATCTGTCAAATCGGCTCTAATCTTGGATTGTGGGCGTGACAGACCAAAATTCTCCTTGCTTGTCCATCGTGGTGTTCTGTCATCGCGGGAAGTCTCCTGACTTGTCCATCGTGGTCTGTCATGGTGGGACGTCTCCTGGCCTGTCCATCGTGGTGTTCTGTCATGGCGGGAAGTCTCCTCCTGACTTGTCCATCGTGGTGTTCTGTCATGGTGGGAAGTCTTCTCCTGACTTGTCCATCGTGGTGTTCTGTCATGGCGGGAAGTCTCCTCCCGTCTTTTTCCTCGTGGGGTTTCTTCGTGGTCTCTTGTCCATCGTGGTGTTCTGTCATGGTGGGAAGTCTCCTTACTTGTCCATCGTGGTGTTCTGTCATGGCGGGAAGTCTCCTGACTTGTCCGTCGCGGTGTTCTGTCATAGCCGGAAGTCTCCTGACTTGTCCATCGTGGTGTTCTGTCATAGCCGGAAGTCTCCTGACTTGTCCATCGTGGTGTTCTGTCATAGCGGGAAGTCTCCTGACTTGTCCATCGTGGTGTTCTGTCATAGCGGGAAGTCTCCTGGCCTGTCCATCGTGGTGTTCTGTCATGGCGGGAAGTCTCCTCCTGACTTGTCCATCGTGGTGTTCTGTCATGGCGGGAAGTCTCCTCCTGACTTGTCCATCGTGGTGTTCTGTCATAGCGGGAAGTCTCCTGACTTGTCCATCGTGGTGTACTGTCATGGTGGGATGTCTCCTGACTTGTCCATAGTGGTGTTCTGTCATGGTGGGATGTCTCCTGACTTGTCCATAGTGGTGTTCTGTCATGGTGGGAAGTCTCCTGGCCTGTCAATCTAATTCAGCCGTGTTAGTTGTCAGGACAGATCGGGAATCTGAGATGTCCGCTCCTCCCTCTACAGAAGCAGTTTATGTAGTTGGGTTACTGCTGGTAAAATAAGAACTACAACATGGATGTTACACGATCAGTGACCCGGGGAAGGAGCCGGCACTGTGGCCACCGGTCTTAAAAACATGAAATAAGTAACCCTAAACCCTTGTTATGCGGGTTTCTGGCAGTGACTTTACTGCGGCTGCAGCTTTACGTGACAATTGAAGATGAAATGTTTTTTCTAATGCTGCCTTTTAGCTTTAAGTTATATGTTCGGAACTTTAAGTGGCTTTTTCTGAGCTGTAAAATTGATGTGTTTGCAGATGACGGGGAGGCTCTGCGTCTGGTGACGGAGCTGGAGCACAGTTTGTCTCTTCTGCCGGCGGTGGTGGGGAGTACCAATGTTCTTGCAGAGATTGCTCTGGCCCTTCAGCCCCTGCGGAGTGAGAACACCCAACTGCGGAGGTGAGTGTCAGCAGGAGGCCACAGGCGTCCTTTCCTGATCTGTTAGGTGTCCCAGGAGAGGATAACGGAGGGCAGCACGGGCAGGCATGTCATTCTATAAATGGATCCGGTGGTACACCCTCATATACACTGAGTGGTCAGATTATTATGACCCCCCATCAGTACTTGGTTGGGCCGCCTGGTGACTCCACGAGATGATGAAAGGCGATGCGAGGAATCTGACACGGCACTGTTGCCCTTCTGTTGTCTTGTACCAGTCTTGCCCCTCCCCCGTTCTGCCCTAACATTGACTAGTCGCTGGCGGCCACAATTCGCACGCTCAGACCCAGATTTTCGGCTGACAGTCCGGTCTTTAAACACTTTAACAATGAGCCGCTCCTGAACATGTAACGGATTCTGCTGTTGTGCTGATACTCGCTCCATGGCTCCGAGCGCCAACAATCATCCCGCGTTCCAAGGCTGTTACATTGCGTTGTTTCCCCGAATCTTCAGAAACAAATCACTTCTACTGTCGTGGTAACCAACCTGCTTCCCTATTTATAATGGTCTGGCCCTCTAGCAACTTCAGCGCCAAATTATAGCTCATTTGCCTACAAACGTCAGGTGGTCATAATAATCCGGCCAGTGGCTGTATATAATAATCCGGCCACTGGGTGTATATAATAATCCGGCCACTGGGTGTATATAATAATCCGGCCACTGGGTGTATATAATAATCCGGCCACTGGGTGTATATAATAATCCGGCCACTGGGTGTATATAATAATCCGGCCACTGGGTGTATATAATAATCCGGCCACTGGGTGTATATAATAATCCGGCCACTGGGTGTATATAATAATCCGGCCACTGGGTGTATATAATAATCCGGCCACTGGGTGTATATAATAATCCGGCCACTGGGTGTATATAATAATCCGGCCACTCGGTGTATATAATAATC